GAGTTTCGTGTCTGTCCATCCTTTTTGTCCCCTTGCTCCAGGGTTGCCATGTCTGTCCTTAACCAGCTTGCCTGTCTACTTGCGTTCATTAAACTGCATTTTTAGTTTAAGGTCATTCTGGCATCTAAGGGGTTAAAGGGACAAGGGGAGCTGGAAGACTGAAGAGTCTGAAGGGGTTTGAAGGGCTGAAGGGGTTTGAAGGGCTGAAGGGGTTTGAAAGGCTCAAAGGGTTTGAAGGGCTGAGAGGGTCCCATAGCACATCAGGGCTGCAGTGGCACCACCATCATACAGTCGCATCTCCCCATACATGCACGCATATGTGCCTTCACAATGAATACCCTCGCAGGCATAAACCATCTATCTGTATGTAAAAGTGTCTGCATCCACAATATGGGTGAAAAGGTCCCCCTGAGGGATGCTTTTCCTAAATAATATCTCGCAGACCTTTTCTCGGATTGGGCAATTAAGAACTTCGTCCGTTATTCCGTCCAAACCCGTTGCAATGTTTCCCTTCCTTTTCAACTTCAACACATGGTTTTTCTTGCAGCTGCTTTTCATTTCTATTTTTATGTCCCTTCCAATAGATGGGTTTGGTTGCAAAAAAGAATGACAGAGTGATCTTTCTTATTGAGCTGCCTAGGCCCGCAGATTGGTTTATCTAATAATAGCACCAAAAAAGAAAAAATGATGCTTATCGCATTGACTATTGGGTAGCCTAGTCAACACATATAACAGTGGCAAGCGAGCTACCATGCCACGCAATTTGTGAGCTATTCATACGGGGCGAAAATAAGAGCAGGCCTAGTGGGCCTGTGAAAATTAGCGTCAGGCCGGCTGTCAAAAATGGATAGTGGGCCACAGGCGAACCAGGCCTAAGAGAGGTCAGGCTGGGCTGGGCTGGGCTCCTAAATAATGGCCCGTGCAGACTTCTAAGATTTAGAGAGGCGTTTTGGGAAGGACTTCTATTTTTGGTCCAAAACAAATTAGAGTAATCTGCACCATTGAAGAAAAGATGTACACCAAAAGGTGGGAGCAAAATCAAGTTGGTTCATAATTGTTCAGTTTCTTAATGCAGTATCTGAAACCACAGCAAGGCATGTAGTTGGGCTAGTTGGTGGTACATACTGTTTGAAGGGAACAGCGCAAAAAGGACGTAGGATGAGGTCGAAGAAACACACAGACAGCGCCCTGTCTGCGCGTTTCTTCGACCTCGTCCTACGTCTTTTTTGTGCTGTTCCCTCCAAACAGTCTGAAACCACCATGTCTGGGCTTAAACTACACGAATGAGTGAGTTAAAGGCTTTGGGACTTAATCACATCTTTCTAGTAAAGACTTCCTCAGCATGCTTAAGAGTGTATTTTCAGGTGACAGCAGGTAGAAAAATGTTTTCTGGCATATCGGAACGCCCTAGCTCTCTAAAAAAGATCTCCACCGAACATCAAAAGATCTACCCTGGATGTTAACAACTTAAATTAATTTTGTATCATAAGGCCAGCAAAGACTTTCGTTAACTGTACTTGAGGTAGATTATATGCCGACTAGATTAAAAAGAAAGAAAGAAAATTATGAAGTGCCAAATTCTAAAGCCTGAAAATGGGCATACAAGAAACAAACCACAATAAAAAAAAGTTATTTTCCCTGTTTCATATCTCAACCTTTACAGCCTGGCAGTTTTGCTATATCAGTAAGAAATAAAGATCAATTGATTCGTGTCACATTTTTGTACCCTGCATCATGTGCGGGGCATTATGCGTACAGTGTCCGGGCCCTACTCTGGGCCCCAGAGCAGAACCATCAGGGCCTACTCTTGTATCCAGTGTAGGCAACCACAGGTGTGTTGGGTACATAGCACTGACCTAATTGCCGCCTACTGTAATATCCCGAGTCATCGCTCACCATCCTGCAGCCTGAAATTCATAAAAAAGTGAGGTGGGCCATGTCTCAATGGGTAAGCACAAAAAGTAAAAAAAAGAAGGAAAAAACACCCATGTTTTGTGCGGCTGCAGTTTTGTGCGGCTATCGCGGCTGCAGAAGAGATACATTAAACTCAAAACTGGAATTAGTTTTATTGTTTTATACAAAAAATGCCCATGAAAGAACATTTTACTATAATGAAGTCCCATTGCTTGCATACGTGCCATAAACACCGCCGATCGGCATACAGCGAACGTTTGTTCTGTGAAAGCACGTTAATCCACCATGTTCTTCACGTTTGCTCAAAAAAAAAAAAAGCTCGAGGTACACCTGAGCATTTCTTACGAGTTGTGAATTCGAAAGCATGCAATCCGCTCATCCACTCCCTTTGTCGTCTGCTGCGTACTAGGAACCGAAGGCGTTGGAAACCAGGAGCCATTTTCGCGCTTCAAACTGATAACGTCAGCTCGCTCCATAAAACAGTTAATGCTTTCACATTAAAAAGAAGTCCACAGAAAAACAAAAACCAACCAGGCGCAACAGGCAAGCGACCGAGTGGACCAAAGAAGAGACGAAGAGCAATGCTGGGAAAGCGGAAAAGCCGGCGATCGCGTTGGCAAATATTTTGTTGTCGGCCCAAGTCGGGCGCCTTGCCAATCACAGGCTCTTGCGCAACTTTTTTGTTTGGTACATACATGCGTGCGTTTGTGCAAGGCATGCTATCAATGTGGGTTAAGGCGGCATTGCTGCGTGGCGTGGACGGCACCACGAACACGGAGCTCGACATGAGACGCTATACAAACGTCTGTGTGCGTCTTTCCAACAAAGCTTCATTTACCCGATGGCTTTGTTTTAAACACTGCAAAACCGCCGTCGCGACGTGCCAGGAGAAGGGGGTTCGCGGCGACCTTACTTTGGCGGAAACAGACTTTGAACTTACCCTCCGCAGTTACATTCCTGGATATGGGGCGTTCCCTTACCTTGCAATCCCTGAATGGGATCGTGATCCCTGAATGGGTTACTGCTTGTGTTATCTTTCTGACTTTTTTTTTTATCGGTACAATATTTATGTATGCAAAACAAACTTTCATTCTGTTATCACCATCGTTTTTTTTCGCACGGATACACTACGACTTCGAGGTCGATCGCGGAGGAAATGCGTGAAGAAAGAGAAGTGTCTTTCTCTCCTTTGTTTTACTTTGTCACGGACGTTCTCCAACTGTAAGGTCCGCGGACGTGTCATTGAGGTAGGATGAATGTCCCAGGATCGCGGAGTCAGCGTTGGGGCATTTGAAGGTGTGGGCGATGACTGGGTGTTTTTTTGGAAATCGATATTGGCCCAAAAAGTGGGGTGGGCGATGACTCGGGATATTATGGTAAGCACCACTTCAACTCAACTCAACGAGGCCTTGGGAATTCCAGTTCCAGTGACCTTGGAGATAACTAGGGTTTCGTGTTTTTAATGTTTATTTTTCTTCGAAATCAGGGCTGTCTTTTCTAGGTTAATTTTTTTCCCACAGACTGCTTTTTGGTTTTGGACAAAATATCCGTTTTACCGGGGAGTATGTTCAAGAAAAAGACACAGCTGTGGAATTCCACCACCTCTAGAGAACATGCATGTTACCCAAAGACTGAATGGAAAGCGCCGAATAAACAAGGACGAGGAAGGAAACAGAGATGAAGTGCACTCTCACCGCAAGGTTTATTGAAACAAACATTTACTATTACTACCGTCTATCTGGCTGTTGGCTTAGAAAGAAAAACTCCTTATCTGTCAAGCGCAGTGACGGCGCACTAATACACAGGCTCTCCCTTTGCTTTATTATGCAGAATGCCTCATGTATTTCTCGCCACACAAGCTTTCCCCAACTATGTTCAAAAATAAACGAAAAGGGAGAGGGTAAAGGGTGCCAAAAGAAACACGCAAAGCAATACGTGGAGTGTGAAACGTCAGTGGTACATAACATACCAATGAGTAATGGGAATCATATGTGGGCCAAACGGGGCGTTGCATAAATGAGGGAGCCAGAGAACATGCCTGGTCAGTGAAACAGTCCGTCGGGCGATCTCGCGGTGCACTCCGATAGGAGCCCATGTGGTCCGGAATTGGAAAAACAGCAGTTCTGGGCAGATACGCAAACAAAACAGTGCAAGAAATACATGAGGCATTCTGCATAAGAGATCAAGGGGAGAGCCTGTGTATTAGTGCACCGTCACCGCACTTGACAGATAAGGAGTTTTTCTTTCTAAGCCAGCAGCCAGATAGACTGTATTAATAATCCATGTTTGTTTCAATAAACCTTCCGTTGAGAGTGCACTTAGTCTCTGTCCCCTTCTTCGTCCTTGTTTATTCGGCGCTTTCCATTCAGTGATGTACCAACTAGCCCCCATTTATCTATACTACTACTATCCAAATACTTGGAAGATGTCCTGGCTATCGATAAGAGAAGGAAGCGAAATAAGGAGTGTGGTTTCCCTCCCGCCCTTCCCCCCCAAAAAAGTTTCGCAGAGAGTTTAGTGAGTCGTGTTCGAGGTTCAAACAGAACAAAGCGGGAGCTACAGATGACTCTTCCATGACAGGCTAGTGGTTGCCTGTTTTGGGCCCGGTTTCCCATGCTTCTCTGAGGGAGCCTTGTCTGTTTTTCAAGTTGTTTTCTGTATGTGCAGCGTCATGTAGGACTTGGCTATAGTACTACGCACATTTGCTTAAACATCGGTTCGTCATTGACCTAAATATTGTGCTTCAATGGTGGCAGGAACAGTTTAGGAAGGAATTGAAGCGGAGAGACCTCTGGCACGGTATTCAAGCCATCGTTCGTCAAGGTCATTGCAGACATGCCAAGCAGAAAGCAGATGCACAGAAGCCCCATAACAACAAAGCACTTTTCTTTTTTCCTACTTTGCATTGTCAGGCTGGTGGAGATGCTGTTGGAATAGGCTACTGGGGTGTATGCCAATGAGACTATTTTGTCGATTGCATCGCAGCCTTTGCCATGCTGTCTGTCCACACCTATATTCCTTATACCGTGCCCCGGTCTCAGCCCTCCTACTCGCAAGCCCGACGCAAGAAGAGCTCGCGAGCTCACCCGCGGCCGAGAGTCCCGGAATGCCGGCAGAGTTGTTCCCGCTTCCGGCAGCTGCCAGAGCGGCCAAGTTTTGCACCACCATGGGGTTGATCCCTGGAGCAAAAAGGTGACCGTCCATGAACGATGGCCTGTCGCTCGCCCAACGCTGTGCTGCTGTCCGGGGAGGGTACATACGTGACACCATGATAGGGTTAGCACTTTGCCAATGGCTGCCTCTGGCAGGAGAACGTTCACAGTAGCATAAATCATACTTCAATGAAAACAAACACTTACAATAAAATACCAGGGGAGCAGCCACGTCACTTTCACTAAAATCTGGGTTAATTCAGACATCGGTGCTTGTCCGGTGAGACTGGGCGCTTAACGTATAATTTGCCGAATTCCCACGTTTGTGAAATGTTAATAGTGGGCGCTTGAACGAAGTGGGTGCTTCTGCGGTATTTTATGGTAAATGGCAGGTTACAGCCTTTAGTATTTTTGAGGATAGATATCAATGCCAAACAAGTACCAGACAAGTGCTGGACTGTGCTGAACAACTACCTGACAAGCACCAGACAAGTGCTGGACAAGTGCAGGATAGGTTCCAGACAAGGGCCAAACACGTGTCAAACAACTACTTGACAAGTGTCAGAGAAGTGCGGGATGAATGCAAGACAAGTTCCTGACAACTGCCGGACAAGTACCAGACAAATGCCGGACAAGTGCTGGAAATGGACCAGAGAAGTACTGAACAAGTACCGGAACGACAGAATAGAAGCAATACCTTGCAGTCATATTGCCACCAGATTAGGCACAAGCAAATCCCGCAAGCTCTCCTACTTAGAGGCCGACCTACACACTGCGCTTTCCACTTTTGCTACCTCCTCCTCCCTTATATTTTCTCCACTTTTTACCTTGCCCCAACCTGGCTCTTCTCGCAGCTTAGTAGAGGGGAGTGCTAAGAGGATTATTTTCTCTGCAGAAAACTGAGATTGTATGTCGTCTTTAAGCAGCAAAGGACAGCAATGCCAGTTTGGATCCTATAAGTGCTGTGAAAAGCATTAATTGTTGTTCCATGTCTTAAAGCAGGACAACTTGGTATTGCATAAGCAGGTGGTACTGGCATTATAGTTCTAATATAGAGCATCCCACACACCTAAATCATTAATGGCTGTAAAAAGAGTTAGCTGGCTTTCTATATGCTACTTTAAGTCATACTCAAATCGGAATGCACAGACCCTTTGGAGCCCCAAAGGCCCCCTTGGTGTCCCCGAAATTGATGCTGGCTATGCCACAAACCTAAATAGACCAAATCATGCGCTCGGAGCGATTAGGGGCTGGCTATGTCACAAAACTAAATAGACCAAACCATGTGCACGGAGCAAGGAGGGTTGATTATTCTCAGTTTCAGAGCTTCAAAGTTGGTTTGCAGGCATTTAATTTGCTTCGTTTACCCCTTTTATCATTGTGAAACATCAGTGGTCGAGAACAACTGACTTAAGTAAAGCAACTTGGTGTTAACTGAGCAGGTAGCACCAAGTTGGTCAACACTGCAGTGCACTAAAAAAATTGTCACTCACGCTTTCACACACACAAGGAGCAAAACTCTCACACAGAGTGCTGTGTAAGAGTTTTGTTCCTTGTGGGTGTGAAAGCGTAAACGAGTTTTTTTAGTGCGCTGGAACGTCGGCCAACACGAACAACCAACTCGCCCAATCTGAAGTTCTAACAGGTAGTACCAACTTATGTTTCAATAACCGAAATCATACCTCTAATCTTTATTGTGCATAAAAAGAGTGAGTTAGCTTTTTAAGATATGTGCATAAGGTTTACAAATTAAATAGGTAAGTACAAGTATGCACATTGCCTTAGTGGCAGAAGAAAGAAGCAAGTAATCCCATGATCATATGTTAGTGCATAGGTAGCTTTCATGCTCCATATTCTCCACAAGCCTGATTTGTTCACTACTGTATGCACCACTTGAAAAGCTTGTGACAGACACTGCCATGCATGCTGCATAGCACAACCACAGCAAAACCTTTTCCCCAGTTGCTGAGTCTCACGTAAAGGATGTAATGAATAGAGTAGATGGATGTAAAATAAGTTGCAAAAATTGGCACCTGCAGGTAACGAGCATAAACTTTAATTAACCAGCACTTTTAGAGTTGGCACCTCATAAAATTTCAAGGCATGTCTCTGTTCATGTAAAATATTAAAACAGTACCCTTGACATTTTCAAAGACGGCCTTCACAACAATTCGCCAAATTGCCCGAGAGTCAGGCTTGTGGTGAAGACCCCTGACGGCAGACGACAGTTCAGTCCATTTTTGACACAGCACATTTTAGTGACTATTGGAAGATGGTGCCATAAACACGACTCCTTGGCAACTCTCTCATCTCGAACTGAGCTCACTGCTGTATATGTCCAGGGCATTCCAATTTTTCACAAGAACGAATGCTACAACTTGAAATTTCACAAGGTAAAGTTCATCACTATAATACACACTTAATGAAAGTTTGGGCATGTTACATGCAGGCATCAATTTTTCTAGCTTATTTTCTAGCGAGCCTCCCAATTAACAACACCTTATACAGTTCATGAGAAGGGCTCTGTAGAATACAAACTGGTTGCAATCTCTATGGAAACCAAATGGTTAATGTGCCTGAGATCCTAAAATAAATATTTATTCAATGCTTTCTAAAACTAAACAGCAACTTGTAGCACAGTCAAGAAAGCCAGGGCTAGGCAATGCGAGCACATGTCAGCCAGGCGTACAATTTCTCTATTTCAAACTTGCATATGAATACCTCAATAAAAAAGACAATAAAAAAACAATAGTTGAGCGGACCAACTGAAATGGATCAAAGGCAAAAACGGCGACACCAAGCAACACACAAGGTACAAGCACAATCTAGAAATATGCCACACAGTAGGAATAAAATCACACACACACATACAAAAAGAAAGATATGAAAGCAACCCCCACCAGAAAAAGGATAATGTGAATGAAGCTTTGATGAGTTTAATTGCTTGAGCACCCTAGTGACTTTGTCTCACTATGCAAACAGACAACGAATGTTGTTTGTGGACAAGCCAAGCACACATTATATTAACATTTTTTTGAGCATTACCAATTGGCAACAGAACACGTACACAAATAAATGATAAGTCAAATATTGCATCAGTTGGGAAAATGTTTTCTTTTAGTTATGTTGAAAGAAATGTTGGCTGTTTGTTGGCATAGTGGGGGACTAGAACATTAGAAAGGTGAGTGCTAAGCCAGCAAAAGATTCAAAGCAGAATCAAAAGGAGCATGAAAAAGCTGATGATGTCTATCGGAAACATATCCCATAACATCAATTCAAATTATCAATGTTTGTCGGGCAGTACCAGGTAAAAGCAGTTTTGACAGTGGTAAAACAGCATCCTAGATACAATAGGAATGTACAATGTTGTGGAGTTCGAGAGTTCGAAGTAATAACCTCCAAATTCTGATTCTACTTTTACATTTAAATTTATTGTACTACACAATAAACCAGAAAATCTAATGATAGCTTCTACATAAAAAAAAAAAAATCTAAATATTGTCTAATACAGGCTCCCTCGTTTTGAAAACCAGATTTTGCAAATGACAGCCAGCTTTTACAAATTACAGTAAAACCTCGTTAATTCAACCCCCGTAGTTTGGAAATTCTGATAATTTGAACTGCCCATACGGTCTCGTCAGATGTGTGTATTAGTCAATGGCACCAAATGCTCCTTAATTTGGAGGGAACGTGGCGCGCTATGGTTAATTTAAACGAATTTTGCAGGAGTGCAAGCTACCGTCCGTTCCAAAGGGTATGACCGTTATCCATCCAAGGTGCACCATGTGGTTTTTCTGGTTTTCCCATGGCTCTTCGCTCTTCCAGTTCTAAGTGTTTCGCACCAGTTTTGCTCTGGATTGCCATGCGTCAGCACGCTACTCTCCTGGCATGTAAGTGGCAGGAGTATAGCTGCAACAGAAAAAGAGTAACACCAGCGACCAACGACCGGAGCGGCCAAATCGCGACACATGGTGCTACTGTTCTTGAGAGCACCATTAGCGAGGGTGAGTCACATTTCATGCCTCAACGCGGGGCGGCCGGCAGAAAGCAGCCCATCCTAAAGCCCACATTTTAACAGCTACCTTATCCCTAAATTTTTTTGCCGGCCACCCCCGCGTTGAAACATGCAACATGACTGGCACTCTCGCTATCGGTGCGTTCGGGAACAATAGCGCCGCGTGTCACAATTTTGCCGCTCCGGTCATCGGTCACTTGTGCTACTCTTTTACCGTTGCAGCTGTACGACGAAAAAGTAGAACCACTTTGGCTACGTACGTGAAAATTGAGGCCGAGATCCTACAGGCTTTCGAGAGCGAGAAGTTCAATGCGAAAAGAAAGCGGCTGTGGAAGGTGGTGCACCCGAAATTAGAAGAGGCGTTGCTGTGCTAAATCGTCAGCGCACTGCACTTGCACTGACAGTGACAGTGAAGTGGAGCACCTGACCGCGCTAACGAAACTTGTTGCCTCCGCCCAAATGTCGTCCACAAAGCAGGCGGCAATAACACATTTCTTCTCAAAATAAAGGTATGTCACGAGGAAACGTTTTTGCACAGTTTTCTTTGTCCTTTCGATATTGCGACTTTCGGATAATTCGGACATTTTTGCAGGTTCCATAAGATCCGAATTAACGAGGTTTTACTGTACAGTTTTTGCCAGTGCTCAGGATTGAAGGAAGATACACAAGTGATGCCATGGCTTTAGTTACATTGGTGCTGGCAACTCCAGAGTTTTCAGCATTTGGACACCTCGAACAAGCTAACTATTCTGTAGACTCTCGCTGAATCAGAGAAACTTTCAAGGGAGGCTTTTGGACTGCTTCACGACTCCTTCAGAATGCCAAGCTTGGTCAACATTTCGAGTTAGGTAAACAACAGCTTCAGTGTTGAAATATGCAGCTCAAGGACCCATGAGCATGTAATATAGTTAAAGGTGAATTTATGAGCAAATTCGATGTACAACAGAAGAGCATACCAATACCTCACCTAAAAGAAGGCCTGTTTTACTCATAGGGCTGGAACAAACTTTGCCATGTTTCAAACAACACTGAAACATCCCGAAGGATGCCACTGCTAGACACAAAAGTAGCTAATGTTGCATGCAACTGTCCAGCATTACTTGCAGCAAGTTCTTATATTTAGCTTCTGACTGTAATGAGGTGATTGAAATGAGTTCTGCCACAACCAACAAAACCTAATTAAAACACTTTGTGAAGTGGCACCAATATGTACAGGCTCACAAGCCATCCAGAACAAATTTCTTGCTAATGTTCCTCATGTTGCTTGCCCTTTGCATGATTCATGGCATAATGACACCTTATGTGAAAACATATAGACTGGGACGGTATGAGGTGGGCCCTAGAGGGAAAAAGGGTGTGCTAAGGAGAAGGGGTGGGGTTTTGGGAGAAAAGATTTTGGGATGACAGCATCCTATCGGTATGGTGGAAAAAGGTCATATGGAAATCCCTACAGTGAAGGGGCCATATTATGGGAAATGATAGAAGCATGTCGAAACAAGATCCCAGAGGGAAGGTGTGGCAAATCCAAGAAAAGCCCTAAATAAAAGGTCCTAGGAATATACAGATCAGTTGGAGAATAAAGAAAAAAAAATTTACAGAGAAGGAGATCGATTACTAAACTGAGATGGCCTTTGCCAGTGTAAAAGCAGCTCATGCCAATGAAGAGTGCATTCTCAGGAGGCAGTCAACCAGTTCAAAACTACGTAAAATGTCTCTTTTTGCAGGTGATTTACCTGTCCGAAATTTGTCCAATGAATAAAACTGAGCCATAAAGTGAGCACATAGGAGCTCCCCTGCCCAAGGCACTGTTCACAGCTTTAACTAAATAAGCCGTTTGAGAAAAGTACAGGGCATAGAGGCAACTGTGGGAGGGAAGTTCGAGAATGGCGCAGGGGACACACAGAAGAAAAAGTGATAAAGTATAAGAAGGATGTAGGAAAAAGAGCTTGGGGTAGAGGACTTGGAAAATGCCTTAGGGAAAAGAATTGAGAATTTTGGGAAGTTTAGGGAAGAGAACCTATGGAAGAAAAATTAGAGAAATTGGGGAAGATAACCCAGCAAAGAGAGCCTAGCAGAGAGAACCTAGGGAACACACCCTACAGGGAAAAAACTTCAGGAAAAGTACCTACAGAAAATACCTCAGGGAGGAATGATTTGACAGGAGAGCTGAGGGAAGATAACCTAGGGAAGGTGACTGGGGGTAAGAGAATTGGGGGGACAGGTCACGGCAGTAGGGAGGAGGCTCACCTGTGTTAGAATGCTGGTGATGGGCGGAGAGATGACGGTCTGCCGTCACGACCACGCAAGAGGGGTGCAGGGAGTGATGGTCGGGAAAGGGCTGGTGCACTATGTGCGCGACCACAGCGGAGGAGGGGGGCCGCCAATGGCCACACCAAGGGGGGCGAGGCAAACAGAAAGGACCGGGCAGGTTGGCATGGCTCTCCTCCTCTCCCTCTCTCTCTCCGCGTGGTCACCCCCATCCGAATAGTCTCATTAACTACACTGGTGGAGACACTGTGCCCGTAACGCTAAACTACGGAATGAAAAAAATCTATAGATGGCATGGTTTAACCATTATAATGTGGATAACTGCAAAAAAAAAGAAGCTGTGCTTAAAATGCTAATATTTTATTGATTCTGGATGGTATAAGCTGCGACGAATGCATGTGCCCTGGCAGATGCCTAGTATTGCTTGCAACGCAACTATGAGGACACGCTCAATTTTACTGAGCCATGTACCAACTGTCCCAGCTGTTCTATTTTTATCTGTTTTCATCATAGAAGCTTAAAATAAACTGCCTATTAAATTTGCCTTTGCATAAAAGTGCAATTCTGCCAATCACTGACATAGATAATGTAAGGTTTCAGAAAGAGACAATCAGTAATGCTCATGGAAAGCCCGATGCACGCAATGGGCAGTCTGTTTGCCAAGCCAAAGCTGAGGTCTCTCCAGATGTTGCCTCGCAGATGTAATGCGCCCCGAAATGAGATGAGTGAACATGTAATGAGACTCGCATCAGAAACCAGAAGCCCGCATGCAAAGGGTGACCACAAGAAAACAAAAACCACATGCCCAGTGTTAACACCAACATGCACACATCAAAAACACAAAGGAACACAGAAGCGGCTTTCAAATCCGCATACACAGAATAAGTGACTTTCATAATGCACCAACAAAAAAAAGCAGCAGAAAAAGCAACCTTAGAGAGGTGACATACTTTAAACATGAAATGTCTGTAGCTATACAAGGAATCAATACACGAGGGGCTCACCAGGACTGTTTGCCAGGTTCGCCAGTGCTGCGAGGCTTTGTAAATTTGCACAGCTGAGGTCTGAAAGGAATTGAAAGGATACAAGGCTTGGGTTCTGCTCGCCTGCAAAAATGGGAGATTTCTCTTTTTTTTGAGAGGCACTGAACAACGAAATACTTGCGCACCACTGGGGCTTGTGCAGCTATTGCTGCAAAACAGTGACACAGGCTATTCAATCAGAAGATGAACAAATGCATAAAAGCACTTATCCTAAAAACATGACATCAAAATTAATAAAATAAAATGTTTGCTGCCTGAAAAACAAAAAGCAAAAAAAACAACACATTAACAGCTTTTTAATGAAGTATCAAGCAAGCATTTTTTTTTAGCTTTTTAATGATTATACCATGAAATGCATGCCTGGCACTGAACAAGCTTTTCTATATTTCCAATTAATTGGATGCTTGAATGCTACTAAGAAAGTAAATCGAGATTGATGAACCCTAGAGGATCATGCCAGGTGGAAATCAACTACCTTACTAGACAAGGGTCAAGTCAGTCAACTTTCCCCAGTTGGGCAACATGCATAAAAGCCTCCTTGATCTGTATATCACCACCACACAGACCAGAAGTAGAGCAACTGGACCTTTCATTTTTAAGTAAGCAACACAGTAGTTTCTACCCATGGTCCAATCACTTATACTTGCTATCAACACCTTAGTTCAACCACACCCTAGGACAACAGCAGAAGCTTTTTGTGTTGCATTAGAGAAGAAAACCTAGGGAACAGGACTTAGGAGAGAGGGAATAGAGAAGGTGGCATAAGGAAGAGGACCTAGGGAAGAAGACCTAAGAAAGAGGACCAAGGAAAGTGGACCTAGGAAAGAAGACCTAGAAAAGATCACCTAGAAAAGATGACCTAGGAAGGATAACTTAAGAAAGAAAACATAGGAAAGGACCTGGGGAAGCGGGCTTCGGGCCTAGGGTAGAGGATCTAGGAGATGTTAGAACCAAGCTGAGCTATTGAGTTGAGAAGAGGGCTTGAAAGGGCAGGGAAGCTGGGCTGTTAAATGCACATGGCCACCGAACCCACTTCACAACATGTATGGCCCTATGGCTTGGGGCTTTTGTGGCAGTGGACCAGAATTTTTCCGACTGTCTGTCTATGTACACCTTTGAACAGTGCCCCTGCAGAAAAGAATGATGGCCCTAGACCTATCTCTGAAGACAGAACCCCACTATAGGCCTGCTTTTAGCTTACCGGTGGTATTGTTACCAGAGCTGGGCAGAGCCAATGCGCTGGTGACACCCTGTCCCGTGAGACCCTGGAGCCCCAGAGAGTTCAACCCTGAAACAAAAACAAACAATGATTTAAACCATGCTTAGAAGGAAGTGCAAGGAAGGTGCAAAACTGTCACGAGAAAGTGTGACAACTCAAAAGGGAAACACATGCGCAATGCTGGTTTTCATTGCGCATGTCTTTGCTACTTAAAAGAGCACCAAAGGGCTTTTTGAGATCCTCGTTTTATGGGCATAACTTAATTTACAAGCTCTAAGCATCCTAGAAAAGTGCTAAAAACCCACTTACTGTTGGTCCAGAACAACAAATGGCACTACCGAATTTTGCTGAATATGGTCAAACGACAGACGGCCTTCGCCAGCCCCCCGTGAGAAATGGGTTTCTGCGTGGATGAGCCGGACTGGTCGGCTGCTCGTTTGACCACACTGAGCAAGGTTCAGGGGCGCTTCTGTTGTTCTGCGACAATGATAAGAGTCGCAATCTTTGACCACTTTTTTAATATGCAAAACGGCAGTACATGAATGTAACTTAGGGTTTTTTAGGATGCTTAGAGCATGTAGATTAAGTTAAGATCACTACACGAGGATCTTGAAAAGCACTTTAGTGCCCCTTTGAGGGTTTACACTGGCACAAAAGAAATCGAGGCTGTATTTGGACCAAAAAAGAGTTATCTAGGAGAGCATAAAAAATTTGAAGACATTTTAAGATGTCTTCAAATTCTTTAGGCTGGAGTTGAAAGCAATAGCCAGCTTATTTTATAAAATGCATAAGAGAAGCATATTGGTTATATATTAAAAAGGTTAATTGATACAAAAAAAAAATACTAATATGAAAGGGGATTTTCACGAAATTCTGGAAAATATAATCAGAGTCGAAGATCTAGGAGTCTGAATCCCACATAGTGTGACAGAGAGTCAACACTCTTGCACAGTGCTAACAAGGAGAGAAAAACCAAAAGAAAATGGGAGAGATAATAAGAATGGAAGGAGGCAGTAAACTATGTCACTTATTAATTTTTTTAGGAAATTTTATAAAGATTCAAATTTTATTAAAATTTTTTTATGACCTGTATTTCTCAATTTGTATTGTGCTGCATCGTGGAAAGGAAGGGTGTTAGTGTGAGCATTTAGAACGTGCTCAGATTGCCCAAGCACACATTTAAACAAGGCATGCAGCACAGCTAAGTTAACATGCCTCTGTATTTGATGGCACCACAGAATACTTGTAAGATGAAGTGCAGACAAGACTCATTCTGAACCAAAACCTGCTAGAACCAATAAAAAAAAAAAAAAGGTGCTAGAAAGATTGTTGCTTTGTGAGAGAACTGTTCAGTGGCTCTGCACCTGTACTCGAGTTGTTTGCCGATGCCTGGGCTGCTGCCAGGGCAGCCAGTTGCTGCTGCACATTCAGGGATCCAAGACCTTTGTGAGAATGAGAGAACACGAAAGATAATATAAGCAGACAGCCAGAATATGCCAATGACAGTTCAGAGTTTGCCCACGTGTGTGCATACAGTTTGATCTCTGGCAATGTAAGAACAAACGACGTTCATGTTATTAACATTCATACAAAAAAAAATGTTTTTTTTTTGCACGAAGAATTGTGGTAACGATTTTTAACCAGTGATGTTTCGCGAAGCCCTTGTAGATTGGCGGAGATGATGGAGGACCCCGTTGGTGGGGAGCGGAAGGGAAAGGTATAGGCTAATTATGATAATGTAATAAATTAATATAACAATATAACTAAGGGCTAGTGTGAAAAAGACTTCTTTCATTGACATACACACGAGAAAATTCACCCAAAAATTGGAACGTTTCTTGTCGATCTGAGAAAGACAACTTTTGTTGCTGGGCTTGCCTCGCGGACCCCCATTTGAGAACCACGGCAGTAGGGTATATTGCAAGGCACCACCCAAAAGCTTTTTCTTCCACAGCAGAGTTGTGTATTTGTTGAGGAGAAGGTGCGAACTCCGACCGAAACCTGGGGAAATCTATTGAGAACTGTGACATCAAAGACTTCCAAAGCTGTCGGGGGTCACTAAAGTTGTCTTCCTACTAGGGATTATGCATTCAAAGCTTTTTTTTAAAGCAAAGTAGTTTAAGCGTTTCCCTAGACACAAAGATTATGTTGTAAAGACCCTCATATTTGTATTATTGAAAATGTTCCACAGATGATGTATTATATTTTCCAAATATCCAGAGTTCTGCATCATTGTCACACGTAACCAAGGCAAAAAGAGTAGGGGAAAGAACTCTACAAACTTTCTCTTTGCTGAAACAAAAAGAAAAGTGAGCTCTGACTCGCAAATATTTTTTTTTGAATCTTGTATCCTCATGGGTCGAGTTTCCATAAAAGTCTAGAGATACACAAGTGCCTCGCCAGTGCCCCATTAGGATTACATAGAACACTCACCACTGCTCAGCTGTGGGATATTGGCGAAGCCAGGGAATGCTCCAGCCTGAGCTGCTTGCTGCAAGGAAAAGAAACACAAAAATAAACAAGCGTACAGGTGCACTAATCATGCAGTACAAGGATTTGCCTGTTCAAGAAGCAAGTTTCCAGTAGAACAATAATGAAGAAGAGTTATCAAAAATTCCTGTTCATTCAATGGTACACTTGAGTTTTCATTAAAGGTTGCTCTGAAGATAACTATGATGGAGAACCATGAGAATGTCTACCAGGGTTTCCAAACTACTTATCTAATATATCAGAATAATGTGGAGAACTGGGCCAGTTGGTTGACGTTATACATGATGGGTAAAACAGCTCAGAAAACACGGACTACGAAGAGGAACACACACGACAGGACAATGCTGTACTCGCAACTGAAGAATTATAAAATTCTTCAGTTGCGAGTACAGCATTGTCCTGTCGTGTGTGTTAATCTTCGTAGTCCGTGTTTCCTGAGCTGTTTTACTCATCATGTATAATGTATCAGAGTTCATTAAAATAGACAACCTAAAAATTTAAAAATAAAACTGTGCATCCTCAAAATTAATAAAGAAGGGTTGGCCTACCGTAAAATCCTGCAAAGGCGCCCTCCCCCGGGAGATCGCCCATCCCGTTTTTCTGGGTAAATGGCCCTAACATAAAAATTACGAAACATCGCCCACCCCCCAATTCCGGTTGGACATCACGCGATGCCCAACGGGAATCACATCAACCGCGCGATCTGCGGTAACCCCACGCGTGTGACAAGCGAGTTTGTAGCGAGTTCCCGCGTTTTTTGTCCGCGATCTGCGCGATATCAGTTCCTGTGGCATGTAGGTTTGTAGCCGGTTTCCGCGTGTTTATCGCACAGTAAAACACGAATCTACTGTATCAGCAGTCCGCAGTATATTTCCCCATGACACAGCAGTTCGTAGCGAATTCCGCGTATTTATCGCGTTGTGCAACGCGAATGTGCCTTGTCTGCGATCTACGGCATCAGTTCCCGTGTCACGTGGTTTGTAGCGGGTGCCCCTGTGTTTACCATTGTTTTTGATAAAGTTTTGCTGCGTCATCCCCAAAGATAGCCCAGTTCATTTTTGTCTGTTTATCTATTTATTTTTGGGTAAGCGCGCTTAAAAAACACACACAAAAAAAATCAAGTCTGGTTGGGACACGCGTGCCAAAAAATAAATTTTACGCGAAAAAAAAATTGAAAGCAATATTGGAGGCGCGAGGCACGAAAACTTTTCTTGGCAATGCAGTGGAGGGTACAGGCACGCGTTTCCTCTCCCATTTTGAGTGCTGAATAAAGCAGTGCGCGGGCTCTCTTCCACTCCACTGCATTGCCAAGAAAAGCTGTCGTCGAGTTTAACCACCTCCTTTCCACTTGTTTTCTCTCTCGGCATTTCGGGCACGTGGAGGAGAGGTGGATCCGCTTCGCCTTCACGTTGAGGTAGAGAGGAGAGCGCAGAATTTGAAATAAATCTCGCGCCATCAATATTGCTAAAAAAAAAAAAAAAAACTTTTTTTCACGTAAACTTTATTTTTTGATTTCCGTGTTCCACCCAAACTGTTTGCATTTTTTTAGTGGCTTTTTAAGGGATTTTATGCAGCAAGGTGTTGTAACCTGAAAATTGCTGAGAATGTGGCACCAGCGCTGGTGATAAAATGCGCAAGTCTGTGAACATTACGCTATCAGTATCGAAAGATAAACCAGATGCGCGAACGGACGACAAATGAAGTTGCGCCTCTCACGCAGGATTTCTGCTGCTCTCTCCTTTCTGCTCCGCACAGCTCGCCAAAAGTGATATTTGTCTAACACCGTGGTTCTTATTTCTCTACTCACTTGAAGCTCAGTGCCGATAACGGTTTTTTGCAAGATTTTTTTTGTTCTTCAAAAAAACTCCAGTGACATCAAGTTGCTCTAGCTCCGAGCTAGTTTCAGCTGGTAACACTTCTTGCCTTTTTGTAAAGTGGGCCGCAACAACGTGAGAGTTCTTTACGCATTTCATTACGGACTTGGAATTGTTATGAAATTCCTGTAATGTCACCACCTTCAAGTCGAAAAACAGCAAGTTTATTCCATCTGTACAAAATCCCAAAGTAACGATGCGAGGAAAGGGTCGACATACGATCATCCACGCGTTAGCGCAGTCTGTAACCAGGGCAAAAACCTTTTCTGTTCCAAGCTTTTCTATAACCTTCGAAGTCTCTCTTGTGATGTATCACTCATCTCTACCGCATTGTAGAAGATGGACATTGGCGACGCCACCCCGAAGTTCAAGATGCTGTCGCCTCGTAAGTTCGTTCAGCCGTCCGTGAGTATGTTGTCACATAACTGCAGAGTTTGACTTTGTTTTCTACCTGTGTCATCACGCGGGCGCACTCCGCCTCCAATAGCCGACCACCTAACAAGTACCTAAAGTGCGGTGTGTACGCGAGCCCAACAGTATCTCTTTTCGGCGATTGACACAAGGTCTTCCACTAGAATGCACGGTCTGTCCAAAAAGTAAAAGTATCGGGATTGATTTTTGCTAGCGAAGGGGACTGGGTGGTGCAGGGTGGTCTCCCTAGGCAGGGACATTGGTGGGATATCGTAGGCACACGACTTGACCATGTTCAGTTGCCTCTAAGCCTTTGCAGAGCGTGGATAGCGCCCGGAGTGAGCAGCCGTTTTGTTGTGTCGTCGGGAATCACGGCGCGGTGCATGATTGAACGACGGTACGCGACCGAGTTTCGTATGAAACTGTACACATCCGGTGCTAAGACCCTTGCCCCGATCTGTTAAATGTACAAAACAAATTCCATGCAAAAAAAAAAAAAAAAAAAAGTTTTTGAGTGGCAAAAGTTAAAACAAGAAAGAGAGGACGTTGAGGAGGAGCAAAGCGCAAGACGACGGTCGACAAGCCAAAGTGAGGAAAATGTGGCAAAAGTGAAAGAACTTTTGGACGCTGATCGACATGTGTGAGAATGATAGCGGAGAGCTGAATCTAAAGGAACCCAGCGTGCATTGTGAGACGATTTGCAGCTGGGGAAAGTGTGTGTCAAATTAGTCAAATGCGCCGGGCCACGCGTTGGGAGTTGCTGGCCAAGCACAACGTGGTAACGCTGCCCCAGCCTTTTTACTGTCCAGACCTGGCCCCGCCCAACTTCCTTCTCTTCGCTCGGATGAATCAACGCCCGAAAGGACACCATTATCGGACGGTGGAAAGAGTTAAAACGGCTTTGACGCAGTGCCTGAAGGAGATTCCTGTTGCAGACTTCCAGGTGGGCGTTAGGCACGGTACATGCGTGGAAAAAGCGCCGACAGAGGTATGCGAAGAAAAACCTTATTTTGACGAATTGTAGCTCATTTTACGTATATCTGCAATATTTGTTTGTTTGTTAATGTATTCCCAATACTTTTTGGACAGAACATGTATATCACTAGCGCGAGTGCTTCACCAAGTGTCGTTTGGCACTTCGGTGTCATTCTGTCAACAAATGCTTGCATCAAAATATGCCGGTTAATATGATTATCAGTTTTTCCTCGAGATTTGCGCTTTCGTTTTTCGGCGGTAAACGTTCTGGCCACACAGCTTCCACCGAAGGGCTTCTTCTTGAAGGATACGTAAATCCAGATTCCGATCTCGTCGATTAGGGTGATGCTGCTGCAGCAGGCCGTATGTCCAGAGGTCACTTTGAACATCTTGCGATGCGAAGCCTCAAAAGGGGTTGCGTTTGAAAATTCGTAATTGGAACAACCAAATCTACATACAGCTGGTCCTTTACAAACACCGTTCCCGAGTTCTGAGAACTTGGTGCGTTGCGCACGAGGGTTCTCAAAGCTAAAGCGATGTACCGGTCGATTGGATTGAATTCTTTTGGATTTATTTACCTTTTGGATCGGGTTTCTTCTGCCGACAGCTGCCGGATGAGTAGCAAGAAATTCGCTAAATTGATAAATGTTTGCATTAATGCTAAAACAATCAACAGAATTAGAGTTTACGTAGATCATTTTCGCCGTCCCGCAACTCCCTCCGCAACCCCCCCACGATACCCGAAACTCTATATTCAAGGCCATCGGCGCGCAGGCGCAGTAGCGGCTTCTTCGTTGCGGAGGGCTTAGCGGAGGGGGAAACGCGGTATACGAAAATTTCCTATACACCACAAAGATTCGCCAAAAACGCTCTTGCCGTTATTGACTTTGGTCGCTATCTTTTAGATTTCTGCTGAATTATTCCTGCTCAGAACATTTCTCCAATGTTTCCAAAGCTTCCGAGAAAAAAAAAAAAAAACTTTTTCCTTCGTAGATTTTTTTTTACGGCCTTCAAAACTTCCAGAAATTTTCCATCGCTAGTTTTGGGGTAAAGGGGAACAAAAATGCTGTCATAAAAATAATAGAGTTAAAGAATCACAACAATACTGACGGATTTCCATGAATACTGTCAGTGTTTACAAAGCCCCAAGGTAACTCGAAATGCTCTGGGGGAAAGTTTATAAGTACTTCAAGTGTTCCAAACTGCTGCATTACACTTGTAAAAAAAAAAAAAAAAAGCATTTTTTTTATTTTATTTTGACAATAAGGCATCAACCAGGAGGCTATGCATCAACTCTCCGAGACAGTACATAGACATTAAATAACAAACACATGACGAAAAATAAATTAATGTACTTTCTTTAATTCACCGACCTTACGCTAAGGTGGATGTTTCCACAAATACGAACACACAAAAATAGGACCTACGCCCGTTTGCTTACACTAACGGAATGCACCCCAAAGCGTGAGCATCAAAAGCAAAGGCAAAACTCTGCTCAACACTGAAGTAGCGTTTTCCACGTACGCTCCGCAGCGCACGGGTGGGATGGAAGACAAACGACCGATCTCTCGGTGGGAAAGTGTTATCCAGAATAAATCAAAACAAAAATTATCGCAAAAAAAAAAAAAAAAATGACAGTAGCAGCAAGCGATTCACTAATGGGATATTCATTCCCATTTGTTACCGGGCGCCGTTTGAACAAAGAAATCCCATCTCCGTGCTTCCGGAAATGAGATATTTA